AGTCTGTTACAAATAATAAAGAAAATCTAATGATAGGGGCTGGAATAGCATGTAGTTATCACACATGACAATCTACTACCAGATTAGTAAGGTACTGATTTCTTCCAGACAGTGGGACCCCAGAATTTTTTCATAGGGGTGGCCAGGTGGAGCCACTGAAAATCCTGGGGTGGCAAACCAAAACAAAAAGTCATCACTGAATTTCAGGAATTCTCTTATGCTGTTTTAGACTACTTGTCAATATGAGAGTGAAGGAATTGCATACTGATATACTTTGGTTTCTTATTTCACTGTTACTTATTATCTGATGTGCATTAGGACTGTCAAAAATGACCACTGACACTCACAAATCAAGTCCCCAAGAGTGAACATTCACTGAGAAATCATCCATCAACCATGCAAAGTAAAAAGGTTTAAGGTGTAAATCTTCACTTTGCAGATTGGATTATTAAATTGAGACATAAGCCCTTTTCACCCATTTCACTTCCCATTGTTTCAGTGCTGTGTGAATGCACAACCATGCATTATCAGGAAGGAAGAAAACCTTAATCTAGCAGGAAGCTTTTAGGACTGTATTACTTAGACTGACTCTGATGCCATTTATTCAGGTCAGAACAGACAGTCCTCTTTTCCTCTAATGATCCTGGTCTAAGAGTCTTATAAGCATCAGTAGAAACACAACTTGGGAATCTCAAAGTCAAATGTCCAAACAAAAAAGATCACTGTATACAAGCCATAGTAGCTTATGCACATATCTTTACTATCAAGCTCATCATGTTCAGGCATCCTTATGTCATTATCAACCAAATGTCCAAAAAAAAAGTGCGGGCTCCAAGCCACAGTGGCTCACTATGAACAGCTATGTAGTTGCATTCAAAAGGTTGTGGGTTCAAATCTTGCTCATGCCATTGCTTTTCACATGGCAAGTTGGAAATCTGAGAGACAAATGTCAAAAAAAAATAAAAAGCAGTTGTGAGATCCTGTGGCTCACTGGTAGATGCCATGCCCCGTGGTTGGGGGTTATCGGTTCAAATCCCGATCAGGATCTCCACATCATGGTTGCGGTAGCGGTTGTCAGTTGAAGTCACCTTCCAAGGATGTCCTGGACGGAGCCTGGAGGTGTGCTGGCACCGGAGGAAGGCCGGAGGGCGATACCCGAGAAGGGGGGGAAATAACCCAGGCTACCCCCCTGGGCCTCCTGGAGGAAGACAGTAAGGGGTTATGGAGCCTGAAAGAAAAAAAATCTTTCGACTTAGGTTTTAAATATATAGACCTGTGTATTTAAAACCTATCACCCACACTTTGAGCAGCTTCTGGGAGGAAGACCGCTGCTTTTCTTCTCCACTTCTGGATCTCACCTCACCACCTCTCTTTCCTGAACCCCCTTCTCCATCACCCACCAGGACCACAAGCAAGGCAGAACCCAGACTGGATTTGAACCAGCAACCTCTTGGACATGAGGCAAGGCTTTTCCCACAAAGCCACTAAGGTTCACGCTCAACAACCTTTTTTTGGGGGGTTTATCTTGAAAATTGAAAGGCTGCCACAAGCCACCTGGTAAGCCTCTCTCAACAAATGCAAAGTCCATCTCAGCCACCTGTGGTGCTCCGCTCAACAGGCATTCAGTCATCCTTTACTCAAGGGCTCCTTGGAAGTTTGGTTCCTAGCAGCTCAGCTGGTTCTGTGTAGACAGAGTGAAACTGAATATAACCGTGCATTTATCAGGTGGAAAGGATCGATGTTTGGTGGGATAAAGCCTGGATTGTAGACTAGCCAGAGAAATGTGGTTCCAGCAACTGGTTTCAGGAGGTGTACCACTAATGATGGTACATGATTCAGCCTAAAGCTTCAACTACTTGTCCCAACTTGACAACACCTGACTGTTTACATTGTGCCTCAACAGTCATTTGTGTGGGGTCTGTTGAGGGGACGTAGATTATGTCCTGTAATCAAATTTGAATCCTTTTAATATATAATAATTTGCTTAAGGATACATTTCTAATCCATTGGCCTTTGTGTCTCTGTGAGGCCTGTGACATGTTCCTTGAGATGGGCTGAGTACTTGTTTAAACCCATCTCCAATCTATCCTACCAGTGGTTTGCACTGTAAACTTAAATTAGTTGGCAATACTCTACTTTTACAAGTCCTGTTTACTCTTGAATTAGTTAACTTGAATCGATGTTCTTTCCCTATGTAAAGTATTAGCATCAACTAAAACTACTTCAGTATATTAAATTTTTTTGTACAGCAAGTACTAAATGGCTTAGATAAGACTGGACTCACTCATTTCTGAGGACTCTAATAGCTTACAGAATATTTACATTTCTGTTAGCATTCTGTAGCAGAACTGGTTAACCTGAACACAAAACACCATCATGGTGAGAATAAAAATGCATCCAAGCTTTTCATTTAACTTGAGATTATGCTGACACAAAAACAGCATTTTGAAAAGAGTATTACATTCACAAATGAGAAAAATAAGAGGTAATTAACAGACACCAACAAAACCGCTAAGAATGCTGGGAAGCTTCTTGGGCCCAAGACTCCTCAGTCTGTAGGACTTCTCCGAATGAACTGATCTTAACTAGATTTACCTCAGTAACTGAGGACAATACAATAAATAATACATGTTACTAGATTTGTATTAGTAATTTTAACAGGAACCAAAAAACATTAAGTCAGTCCAGCTATTATGTTTTACAGTGTGCTGTTCTTGGAACTGAGTATTTCCATCATTGTATAACTGGATAAAATGTGACCATTTTGGAACCTTCAAGGCCTTCAGCCTGACTGAGAGCAAGTCTTGCTGACGCCATTAAGAGGGACACTATCTTTGTTGACCAAAAGTCACCAACAACTCTGAGTTCAGTTTATTTCTAAACTCATCTACCAGCTATTTTAGCAGACTTGGTGGAGCCACTCGAGGTCATCAAAGCTGAACAACATGATGTTAATTTGACACGACCCATATGGTCTGTGTTGATTAATGTCATCCAGTGTTTTTTATTCAGTCATTAGTGTTAAGTTATGATACACTTTAAGTATCAGTCACGGAGATCATGACAGTATTTATTTTAATATCAGAAACAAGTATTCGATTAAGTATTCGATGATTTGCATACAGCTGAACTGAAAATTTATTTACATGTTTATGTAAATTCAGTGTGAGACCTTCAATTTTCAGTTTATAGGTATATCACGTCACAGAAATTATGAACCGTTATTTTTCATATATTTCTACATTTTCTCTCTGTCACGCTGTGCTAAATTACCCAGTACTGTCTTGCAGATGCCCTGCAATGGACTGGCGGCCAGTCATCGTATCTTCTAGTGATTCTGGTCTAAACATCAGTAGAAACATAACCAGAAGAAAAACTCAGTTTAGAAGAAGTTTTTATACATACCTGCATTACTTAGATTAACTCTCACTGTAACTGACCCGCTTTGAGTTCTGTCTAAATGCAGTAAACATTTTAGACTTCTGTGTTTTCACAAAACATCTCTTTCTGCTGTCATTAAAACAGGCTGTTTTTGATACTGTGGCTTTAAGACTGATATGTAAATAACCTTTGTTCTCACTGGCTTCCCTGTATTGTACCTATTTATTGATTCATTGATTGATTGGTTGATTGATTGCAGTCTGGACTAAAACACTTCTATATGAATGGGCGGGGCTAATCTGCTGTAGACCGTAGAACAGAGTGTATGAACGTTTTTCAGCCCCCCAACCAAATAATCACATGGGAACGTGGAAGTAGTGATGGCAAAAACAAAGCTGTCTGAAGCAGTGAAGCTTTTCTTCCAAGTCTATCTAAAAAGGTTTTAAAATCAGTGCACATTATTGAACAGCAGCTATAAATTCACTCTCTCTTGGGAGATATTTTACAATGAAGGACAGATTCTTTATTTTCTAGTGATTTTAAAAGCAACTCATTCATTTCTAAAGCACTGAAGGTAATTAACATAAACATGATGCTGGTTCTACATGATTAAAAAAACTACATCACCTTTGAGGCCCAAGACAGTTTATAGCTGGTATTTATAGCAAATCTCCTGACAAACACATGTATGACCTCATTCCCTGCTGAAAAAAAGACCATTAAAACCAGTAAGATTAAAATCTGATTGCTTTGCTTTCTAATGGGAATAGGCTTAATTGTTACATTTAGAGACCACTAGTTTCCTGTAGGACACCTTTACGTCCCATTAGGAAACCACCAAATGCATCTGCATCTCCCAGGTCATCTGTTCAACCAATAGAGTCCTTTACACTGTGACTACTGGACACCACCAGGAACCAACAGACGCTTTTAATGGTTTCTATGATTTTTTTTTCTGCAGTGTTCACATTTATCTTTGTTCTACTCCTCTGCATATTCTATAATAGCCAAGGTGTGAGCTTCATATATGAAATCTAAATCAAGATATAAGCAGTTTGGGCTAAAAATCATGAAAACCAGTGCAGGTGTACCATCAGATTCACTTCCCCTCATTTTCTCCTTCACGAATCAAGTCAATAGGAGCCGCATTCACTGAGAAGAAATCAGCACCAGAGCCAGTTTATGAGGAGCCTCTTCCTGTTTCCCTGTTATATCATAAACATGACTGCGAAACACCAGAGGGCACCCTCGAGCGCGTCCTGAATGAATGGGGGTGAAAGGAGTGAAATGGCTGATAAATGAAAAGTTAAAGTAGTTTCTAATCACTCGCACAGAACCTTCCTTTAAGTCTAGAAAGTAGAAGGATGTATTTCACTAAAGAAGCAAAGTTCATTTGGGTTCGTGCATAGTGCCTCATAAATATTAGTAAGTTAGATTTTATAAATATGAGGTATACAGGTAACCTAATGCAGAAACAAAGACATGACAGACAGGGCAATAGCTTATCCTGTCTTCATGAGTAAGGCATGTCTTTTTTGTCTTAATATATTATGTACCAAGAGAAAACAATTAAATAACTTAGCACACTGAAAACATAGAACATGAAATTTGTTTATACTTGCCTTATGGTCTGCTTATATGGCACTTTCTGCATAGCAGATATTGCAGCCAATAGTAGAAGCATTAGCAATACAGGTATATTCAGAAAATGACAGAATGTCTTCTGTAATGGAAAAGGAGAAAATCACTCAGTCTTCACTGAGATTTATCTTCAGTCATGCATTCTTAATCGCTACAAAACTCAGGGGTATAGCAAAATGCAGTTAACTGACTACCAGTTATAAAAGCAGTTATACAGATTATAGGCCAATTAGCATTACCTGTCAGCTGTTAATGTGATCTGACAGTCAGCACAGGCTGGTTCCCAACCCAGTTCTCATGGTCCCCTACAGGGTCAACATTTTTTCTCCAACCCAGCCTGCGACACACAGGGATGAAGGAAAAAAGAGGACTGGGTTGGGAACCACTGGCCAATACATTAAAGTTCCACCCAGATATAAGGATATAAATATTTATAAATAATATAAAATTAATATATAATAATAATAATAATAGAATATAAAAATGTATAATAAATAGATATAAAACAAACTCAGTCTTCCAAATAGGATGCTGTTAGAAACACAGAGTCAAGCTTATGCTCTTTAACCTCTTAAATGGCCAGGACACACCAGCAGGCCCAAAGTTTAATTACACACTTCTATAACCTGAGAACAGCTCAACCAGTTTGTGTTGAACTCCCTGTAGTTACTGAATAATAACTAACTAATTAAGCCGTAGTATTTAATAAGCCTGGGATTTTAAGGGGTTAAATGGTAGACCACTAAAACTACCCCCATACGATGACCAGTACTTAAAGCTAGTGTGGTAATCAAGATGGATAGAGACCAGGTCAGAGACAAGGCTGAGACTAGGATACAGAGTCCAAGTCAAGATCAAGACTGTTAGTAGTCGAGTCAAGACCGAGACCTGGAGTGAAAAAGACAGAGACAGAGATCTAGACCAGATTAATATTTTTTACAGAATATATTATTGTGAGTCGGTGAGACTCTTGGGCCCACAGAGGAAAGAAAGAGACCAGTTTTAGACTTACCATGCCTAGCAGTAGGCTGTTTCTTAAAACAAGCAAGAAAAGAGATATATATATATCACTGAGGGGGAAACCCCAGGGCTCAGGACGGTGAAACTCACGTGGTCCAGCGACGTCTAATTGTCTGTAAGGAGACAAAATAGAAAAAGCTCTGTTTTTAAAGGGCAGTCAGAGGGCTTGTCAACGAGGTGTAGCTGGGCTCTCATTAACAGGTCCCAGCTGAGCAGACTAAGGGAGAGTCCACGTCTTAGCCACTTGTACCTCACTATCCACAACATTAGTGTTAAAGCACACTGCCCGGCTCTTCAGCACCTTGGAGTAGGCCCGCAACTCCTGGGTTGGCTTGATTTGGCATATGCCGGCGGGACCCTTCGACCTGCCATGACTATATATACATGCCATTTTCTGCTCAGATAAAATTGCTCTTTTATTGACCAAAGCTTTAAAAGATCAAAGATCTGAAAAAAAAAGCTACAGGTGTTTCTGTCCATCCTTTCACTGTGAGAAGACAACTCAATCTAAAAGGATGAGGAGCTGTCAAGAAGCTGTTACCGAAATAAACAAAAGAACATTTTCAAATCAAATAAAGAAGCTGCTGATGGTCTCAGAACAACAGACTGACCACCCAACAGACCTCAACATCACTGAATGTGTTTGGGGTTACTTGGATCATGAGAAGCAGAAAATGCAACAAGCTTCTAAGACTGAAACTGGAGGTGTGTAAAAACATCCCTGTAGATTTCTTTGAAAAGCTGAAAGCAGGTGTCCTGAAAAGAATACAAGCTCTAATTAAGGCAAAGGGTGGACACACTAAACACTGAAAAAAAATATTATATTTAGTTGTTGAGGTTTCTGTGTAATTTCCTATAAAATATACATTTTCTGAAAAGCATAAAGATGATGTTTATGAGCCAAAGTAAATATCAGGCATGCTGAAACAAATTTTCAGTTTACACTATCAGTGCTGCAAAAAATTTGTACTTCAGCTGTGTTTCAAGTACATATTTAATTCCATGCCTGGTTCACTTTTGCTTCACAATTTGGTCGAATCTCGGAACTTATATTTAAAGTGTACAGAAAAACAAAACAAATTCCAGTCTTCCTGCTCTACCCTTCTTGAGGTGTCTGTCCTCCTTCGTTGACTGGCCACAGGAGTTCCATTCTTCCACTAAAGGAGGAGCAATCAGCTAAACCCAGGACAGGTGAAAATGCCATAGGTATGCTCTACGCTGTATGTACAAGTTATTTATTTTTCAGGATATTCAGGAGATATTTCTGAGATTTCTCCCCTCTATAAAATGAAGAACAATCAGCAAAATACAAAACAGGTGGTTATACCTCTTTAAGTAGCAGTTATTAATTTTTTAGGAAATATTTCTGAGATTTCTCCACTTTGTAGCATAAAGAGCAATCACCAAATCCACATTCTCAGTGCTGGCGCCAATGGATCCTCACCTTTGTGGATATTTTTAATATGGAACTTTCAACTGCACGGATCCATGGACATTGAACTCTTTAGAACTTGCAACTAAGAAAACTGGCAACTTATTGTGAAACCTGTTTTTTTTTCCCCTAGCAGCATTATTGTATTTTTACAGCTGGTATTATATTTGTCATATAGTACTGGTTTGTTTGTATTACTCGATATGTCAAAGAGATTATTAATTTATTTATTTTTTCACTGTTATTTTCTTCCTTGATCAGTGGTGGGTTTATGGTGGCATGTGGGTGGGGAACGTGCTACATTTTGTTGCTATTTCTTTTGTCGCCTACTGTTTTTGGTATTACATTGGAAAATTATCTTAAAAACAAAAACATCTGATCGCAAAAAAAATTAAAAAAAATCCAGCAGAGGTAACGGCAGCTCCACCCCCTGAACATTACATCAGTTAAATGTAATCATATTAAATTTCAATTAGGTTGTTCTTTTTCAAATGATATTACTTTTACTTACAATCATCTTTGTGAGGAAAGGAATTTATTTTATACTCAGTGATGTTTTAGTATAAATTTCTGTGTTCTTTCCATGAATGAACACATTGTTCCATTGGTGGCAGCATCAGGTCTGTTTTCTGATTGTCACATATCTCACCTTGGAGCTTAAGGTTTTAGTTTAGACCAGAAAGATCTAAAACTGAGATGTGTTGTACCTAACAAACCTTAGTCCCTGCTGATAGATGCTGGATCTACTAAGACGTTCTACTGCAGATCTACAGGAAGCTCAATAGATTTTTAACCTAGTACTTTGGTACTTCTAATTAAGTTATTTATTCAACTTTTACTTGGGTCATTATTTAATCAAGGTCATAAAACATTTTTTGAAAACTGACTTAATGGCCGCTGGTTTAGTTTGTCTTCAGGTGCCAGTACTAGTACACCCCCATTATTTATTTACACTAGCAACAATATGTTAGACCCTACCATTCATTATTCAGACTAGTACCAATAAGTTAGATAACAAGTTGGTAAAAAATTATAGATGTCAGGTTTACAGCACATATACACTATATTTGGCAAAAGTATTGGCACAACTTCAGGAGCTTTAATGACATCCCATTCTAAATCCATAAGCATTAATACAGAGTTGCCCCCCCTTTACAGCAACAACAGTTTCTATTCTTACAGGACGCTTTCTACAACATTTTGCAGTTTGTCTGATGTTGAGCCTGACTCACAATCTTGGTTCTAGCTCAAACCCAAAGGTGTTCGATGGGGTTGAGGTCAGGGCTCTGTGTGGGCCAGTCAAGTTCTTTCACATCAAACTCACCCTACCATGCCTTTATGGACCTTGCTTCGTGCACTGAGTCATGCTGAAACAGAAAAGGGCCTTCCCCAAACTCTTCCCCGAAAGCTGGAAGCATACAACTGCATTAAAAAGTCTTTGCATGCCAAAGAAATAACATTACGCTTCACTGGAACTAAGGGAGGTAGGCCAACCCCTGAAAAAACATCCCCACAGCATTATCTCTTCTCTACCAAACTTTACAGTTGGCACAGTGCAGTCAGGCAGGTAATGTTCTCCTGGCATTCACCAAACCCAGACTTGTCCATCACACTGCCAGAGAAGCATGATTCGTCAGTACCACAGAATATGTTTCCACTGCTCCAGAGTTCTGTGTTGGTGTGCTTTACACCACTCCTCCACCGACCCTTGGTACTGTGCGTTTTGATCCTAGGCTTGTGTGTAGCTGTTTGGTCATGGAAACCCATTTTGTGAGCACAGCGTTAGCGACTTTTATGCACTATGTGCTCCAGCACTCGGTGACCTCACTCCATAACTTTACGTGGCTGGGTTGCTGTGGTTCCTAAACGTTTCTAATTTTTAATAATACCACTCACAGTTGATTAGCGAACCTAGGAGGGAAGAAATTTCACAGCTGACTTGATGCAACGGTGGCATCCTATTACAGTACTACGCTTGAATTCAGTGACATTTTAGTATGACTTGTTCTTTCACAGATTATTGTAAAAGCAGACTGCATGCCTGGGCTCTTGATTCTATACACTTGTGGCAGGGGGACTGAATGAAACATCTGAATTTAATGATTAAGAGGTTTGTCCCATTATTTTTGTCCCATTGTTATTTAGTGGACAGTGGAGTACATACATACATACACACACTATATGGACAAAAGTATTGGGACACACCTCTTAATCATTAAATTCAGGGGCCAAAGCCAGGATGCCCCAACACCCTGAGGGACTACAGTCCCATCATACTCACTTTACGCATCACGAGATCTTTGGGAAGTTGGTCCTGAAGAAGCTCAGCCTTTTAGGTTTTCTGGATGCAGCATTTGTGTGACTCTTCATATGTGGACATTTTTTTCATATATCCTATTATTCCCCTAAAACGAGATGAAAATTACAGCACATTAGAAAAGATTAATAACAATCCAGCTCCTCCCCTAAATGACCCAGAAACTGTTTCCATGGCATCATCTTAATGGCTGTCCAAATACTGCAGAAGATATGAGAAGCTGAGTAGGCTGGCTGAGCATGAATGACATAAATAAAAAAAACTGTAAATACATAAGTAAGAGTTGAATGAATGTCTGCTGAATAATTTAAACAGAAAGTTCAAAACCTCTATATGTACATATATAAGCCTCTTATTTTTTTGGACAAAAATCTCCACATAGACTAATCAACAATTTGCAAGGCATGTTGCTAGAACCAGGGGCTCTGATCTTGCTTCAGAATTATTAGTGTTCCTATATCTGGAACTAATATTTTAATACGCTAATCTATCAATTCAGTGTACCATACTGAATTTTTAAATGCAAACATAGAGATGGCATCATTTCATAAAGTCAGTATGAGTACCGAAGCCAGTTTAAGCACAATATAAGATATTAACACTCCACAACTCTCACTGTCCAAAAAAATGTACTATACATGTTCATTGTTGTTCATCAAGGCACAGATAATGTAAATGTACCCTTAGATGTACGACAGTGATCTTAAGGTCCAATTGTGTGCCTTTAATATTTTTTTCCCAGAAGAAAAGTATGTATTTGTGCCGTTTCAAAACCTAATGTTCCATAACAGAAAAAAGCCTGTATTGATATAATTACAAAGGAATGTGGTATGTTCCCCAAGTAAAGTTGCCCTTAAAGGTAGCACTGCAGAAATAGGAAAGATACTACCACACTTTTTTTTATCCAGAGAAAACATTTAGGCTCCCTTTAGATGAAGATTTACATTGAATGATAAATTTGCATGCATGAAATACATTGATACACTGCTTAAAACACTATTTTAAACCACAGCTCATAAACATTAGCAGGTATAACTGTGGTTCTCAAATCAGCTCTCTCACCACTCACACAGCAGAGAAAACTGACTCTGCACTCTGCTCCATTATTTTCATTCACAGATAAAGTGCCATATTAGAGCAGAGCTTAAGGCAGCATTTTTTTTGTGCACGTCTCAGTCATTCACTTTTAAGGTAGGTGTTGGTTGTCACTCAGGGGAGTTAAAATGTATTGCGTTTTGACCCCATGCTGCATTGAACCACAATTGAGCAGGTAATATTGTTTTTTTTTGCACCATGTCTCTGTACGATATCAATAAAGGTGGATTCTTGTGTATTTCAGGTTTTCCTGAAGCATAAAATAATCAGTTAAAATGTGTTTTTTTTATTATTGCTCTGACAGGTGGTATGTGAGCTTGAGTCGGTCTTGCTGCTGTTTGGATTAAGCACAAAAGTTTGCAATTCTGCATTATGAAAAACAATAGCCTGATACTAAACCAACTTGATGTTTGATAGTGCACCTGCTCCTATCTTTCCCTAGCCTAGCATCTCACCATCTCTCTGAAAGGCCCTAGTTCAGGGGTGCATGACTGTAGTCCTGGAGGGCTGGTGTCCAGCACAGTATGACAGTATCTCTGCTCAAACACACCCTCTAAACCTGGCAATTAACAGATGAGTGTAATCAGGTTTGTTTAGTCAGGAAAATCAACAATTGTGCTGGACACTTGTTCTAAGCTTAAGCATCCACACTGTTATTTAGGTCATGCTTTAGATTATCACTAGCTCTGTAAGATTGATACAGGGTGTGAAAAAGTGCCTTGTTCACTTGAAAATGGATGAGATTTCACTGTCATGGATTAGGGACCATGCATGCTTCAAACAGAGCAGTAAACCTGGCGACCATGCCTTTGTCTATAGATAAACTGGAATACATTTTAAAAATTGACCTAACTTTCCTTTTACAACAAATACAGTTAGCCAAGATATATCTGAAGCTCAAATGTCGCTCCTTCTAATGGCTAATGTTGCTAAGATGTAAAGGAAATGTATGTTTTATCAGCATCAAGCAATTTGCATGCCTACATTATCACATACTCACAGACTCTGCTGCCATCTGCTGGACTGCATGACTCTGATCTGAAGGTTCTTCTTCCTTATTTGAGTCTACATTACTCATTGTTTCTCTGACAGAGAGTGATGCTTCAGTGGAGCTGTGCTGGGTCACTGAGGTTTTTACAATAGCTATCAGACACTCTGCTAGAAGTATCTCTGTGGATAACTGTTAGACCTCCAGCATGACGGCTTCTGTCTGTTTTTTCATCTGCGCTGCAGGTGAGATGTTTAGCTGTTCATGGTTTTTCGTTCATATAAGGGTTTAGCTGATGTCTTTAAACAGTAAAGATTTCTGGGGACCCTAAAGATATTTAAAAAGTTACTTAAATTGGGATTGTTTTCTGTCTTGGTTCAAAAAAGAGACATGCAAGAGTTCCTATTTGAATCTGTTTGCCTAAAATTTTCATACTTTTATTAACAATCAAATTTGGATTTTCTCTTCATTTTGTTAAAAATCAGTGGCCACAGATGAATAAATGTTACACGACAGATGTTTCAGAGCTCACTTTCTTCTCGGTTTTTAGCCATGTTGTTTCATCTACTTGACATTTTCAAATTTGTGCTTTCATCAATTTGAATATTCTAATTTTCAAATGCTTGAATTCTCTCACTCAGTGTCTAAGTTTTGACTTTGACTTTTGAATAGTTTTAATGCTTGCTTCTTGCTTAAATCTAGTACTTGAGAAACTATGTAGTTGTAAAACTAGTATAGGAAGTATGCAGTGGAAACTATAACCATAGAAGTCCATTGTGGACTGAGTAATGAGGATGAAGCTACGCTAGTCATTTCCTGTTTGGCCTCTGTGGGTTACATACACACATTAGGGGAATTTACACTGTGTTTAAGCTGTGTAACACTTCTATAACAATACATATCTGTCTTGCAGTTGTGAGAGCAACTGCAGGGGATGAATTGGAGACAGTGGAAGTAAAAGAGGGAGCCACTGTAACTCTGAGAACTGACTGGCCTGGTGAGAGGGATGCTGATATAGTTTGGATGTTTGGAACTACAAATACTGGCATAGCACTGAAAGATTCCTGGAGCTCTTCCACTCATTATGATGAAAGATTCAGAGACAGACTGCAGCTGGACACAAAGACTGGATCTCTGACCATCAGGAACATCAGCACCACACATTCTGGAGATTATAAAGTACAGATCTATCTTTATACGGTCATTTTTAACAAGCATTTCAATCTCACTGTTTATGGTAAGGGAATATTGGTATTAGCTTATCTATTAGCTGATAAATGTTCAATTCAGTTTTAAAGTCAATGTAGGTTGGAGTTCAATACAATCATATAAGTAATATAGGTTGACAATATACTTATAAAAGCATTTTTTTTATTTTAATGTACTTTGCAATGTTCTATTTGTTCTCCAGCACCTGCCTTTGTACCTACCATCAAACACCTATCAGATATCAGTGAGTGTCAAACTCCACATTTTAACACAACACAACACTCAGGTATGCTAAAAACGGCTGTAAGCCACATAAGAACTCTCTAAGTGCAAGTTGTTTTACTAATGTTTGATAATGTCTTTAGAACATATAGTACCAGTCAAATGTTTGGACAGACCCAAACACTTATAGAAGCGTTTTCCTTATTTTCACCGTTCCCGATAAGAGAGAGGGAAAGAGAAAGTGAGAGGGAGAGAGAGAGTATTCTGGATGTATGACAATCCTGAATGTATATCAGTGCTGTGATCATGGGACAGCACAGCTGACGGTGACAGCCAGAAGCAAGACTGTGCACCAAGGCATGTGCATCATGTGCCTAGACTTTTTGAGGGGCAAGGGGTGCCAAATGGACCTAGAGGGTGCCACGCTGAGTTTCAGAGGTGGCCTTGCAGTAACAATGAAGCCATCAGATGTCCAGTGCACAGTGGAACATTAGAGGCAGTTGGAGGATCTCCATGGGCAGAATATGCTGTCAGATCAGGGGCAGAATGGCTTTCCATGGGCCATGCGCAGAAGCGGCAGCCCCACCAGCATTGATGACACAGGAGACGTCAGAGAGAGCAGTAAGTGGTCAAGAAGAGGGCTGCTTCTGTTGTCATTGCTCCCAGGGTCTCCGGACTTGATTCTGAGAGAAGTTCTCTCGTGCCTAAGAGGACGACACAGACCTATTTGTGCATTGTTGTGATCTGCGCGTGGTCAAGAAAAGCCACTGCAAAAGCCGCACCCTGCTTTGCTCTTTCTGCTCTGGCGCACCGATGGAGAGAATGCCACAGAATTGGTTTTTGGCTGTCCACCAGCACCAGTCAGTACAGATGGCTCATAAACCAAGAGTGTCCCCTAACCCCAGGGCAACTCAAGAGAAGAGGGCGGATTCCTGTTTAGTTCAAAGATTTTGTGGTCCTCGGGGGTGAGGACCTTCGATAAGAGGGTTGTGTGGGTGTTAAAGAAATATTATACATATTTATTCTGATTATTTGTTCTGCTGCAGTTAATCTCTGAGTTTATTTTTCTAAGATCTTTTGTTCTGATGGGTGGGATTAGCCAGCTCGCTATGTTCTGCCTGTACAACAGGATAAGCCGAGTCAGTCAGAGCTTGAATGAGCGAGAATGCAGACACAAGCTAATGTTAGAGCTAGCTATTAACCTAAAGCCTTGCTTTCTCTGTGGTGTGGCTGTGACCAACGTGGCTGCTTGTCCAACACATTCCACCAAGTGTGTTCAAACTTTTGACTGGTACTGCATGTATTATACGAAAGAATGACAACAACCAGTAGAACAAGCAGTAATTTGTCAAAAACATTGTATTAAACCACCTCATTCACATTTTTTTTAAATTGTCTTCCAGCATATCAGTCAATGCAGTCTCAACGTATCCACATCAACAGAGAGAAAGAGTCAACTTCAAATCTCTGCACAGTGATTTGTTCAGTTACAAATGGCCCGAAGGTCAATCTGTCATGGATTAGAAACAGAGATACACTGAAACAGAGCAGTAATCCTGACCTCAGTGTCCCTCTCTGCCTCCATCTGGAGATAAACCTTCAGGAAAATCACATCTACAGCTGTGTAGCCGCCAACCCAATCAGCAATCAGTCAACCCAACTCAACATCATGCAGTTCTGTCCACAAATTGGTAAGACAATTTCATTGCACAAACTCAGTCCCAAAGAAGTTGGGACAGTATGTGAAAGACTAATAAGAACAGTAAATTTTGTTTGACCTGTATTACACAAACATATTTGATGTTTTACCTTATGACCTATATTGTTTTTTGAAAATATACAATTATTCCACATGTGATCCACATTTTCACATGTAAAACACGGTTCAAGTTGAAAAGCTGCACACTGTAGAATTTTACACTTAATTATGCACCACTGCACCATGGTGCATGATGAAGTGCACCATCATCATATTGTTTCAGTAGGAGACAGACAGGCCAGTGTAGGACCTGTAGCATTAAAATAGACTGTTGATTCAGCAATTATTACACTAACAATTGTCCAATGTAGAGGAGAGTTCTTATGGAGGGTAAATACACAAATACATAAATATAAGGTATCACGTGGCAATGAACCTGAAAATTAAATAACAGGAAAATTAAAAGTGAATATAAATAATTAAACGAGGCATGAAATGTGTAAATGTTTTAAGCACCTGATAAAATTATATTTAAAAAGCTGTTTTTCTGGTCAGTAAGTAACACTAATATTAAATACTACTATACTTTAATTGTTATATATATCCAATAATTAAATGTTACAATAAAAACTAATATTAATGCAATTTTAATGCCATAGTGATTTTACGTATATAGGCCCAATATTATTTGTAGCTTATACCCAACACTCAATCAGCTCAAAAGATATCAGCTACTACTAAAATATGTCTAGCAACTGCTGTCTTGGAGATGATTTTTAGTCAACTGTTTATGATTAAATACACTGGAGCTAAATATGATTCTAACTTGAAAAAGCTTGGTGTGCACTAAGCTGCCAAACTTCAAGTTCAGCTGAAATGGATAGACGTAAACCACAGCTACTAAAGGCAGATCTGTCCAAAACATTCAAACATTTGAGGTGAACTTGAAAAGACAACAGTGTCATCAGATTCTTCCTGGCAGCTGGCTATTCCAGAGGCACTTGGACGAGTATCTAGATATCAATGCGACAATACCAGATGGCGCACGTTAACCCACAGTGTAACACGGTTTATGGCCAAGGAAATGCTGGCGTTCACGTACGGTAGAAAAACCAGCATTCTTTTTTATTTTTTTAGTTTATTTTAAAAATGTTTAACTATTGTTTGCAAGTTTATAGGCATACAAATTTAATTTAAAGACAAGAGAATAAAGAGACAGTTACTTACGTGTTTCCTGGAGAGAGTGACATTGCGGGTCATCCGGTCTTCTTGTAGGTCTGCGGAGGGACAGAGGGACAGGGGGTGCACAGGTCAACCTGGAAAAAGAAAAACAAAAACTGTTTAAGATCTAATTGCTAATATTGAACATGTGCCATGAATGAAATCTGTAGAAATATATAATTGAACTAAATGCTGAATATGCTTGTGTTGTGAACTGGAATACGACTATTTTGCTTTAAGAATATCTGAGTGTAATTTCGGTTTAGTCCACTGCTGCAAGTAAGACGGCTGGTCTCACTGCCGACATGCACCCTGAGGTAGAGAGAGAAAACAAGTGAGAATAGTCAAGGAAGGGTAGCAAAAATGCCTGTCATGCATTTGGGTTTTATTTATTTTGAAGGATCTTTTATGGTACTGCTTGTATTTTTGATGATGTGTGTGCAATAAAGAATCAGGGAAAGAGAACCAATTAACCGGCCTTCTGCCCAAACTTCTTCCAAACAAGCCAACAAGGTAACCTCCAGTCCACCTTATCACAAGCACCTTTATTTTTAGAAAGTGTAGCATCAATGATGAGCTGTCATAGAATATATTTAGTGTGTTTTATGTGACAAGTTAGAATGAACTACTTACATGTCCCAGGTTTGTTGTACACAGCTGGAGAAGAGGTTGTCAGACTGCAGGAGCTGGAGGGAAACACTGTAACCATCCATACTGGAATAACTGGAGTTCAGAGTGATGTTCACATACTGTGGTTCTATAGATCTGAGAATAGATATAACACAGTGAACAGTCAGATCTTTAGAGGAGAGATTATTACAGACTATTACAGTGAGAGATTCAGAGACAGACTACAGCTGAACAAAAACAGTGGATCTTTAACCATCAGAAACATCAGCAGAGAAGATTCTGGACTTTATAAACTACAGATCATTACTAGTAGTGCCTCGGACTGGAGGTTTAGTTTTAATGTATATGGTGAATAAATCGCACATTTTTGGGTTCTAAACAGGGTTCAGATTATAGAACAGCAGCATTAATTCAATCATTTGGAAAAATTGCTGCCCTGGAATTGAAAAATTTTAACCACTTTTTAACCACACCCAAAGGGTCTGTATGTGGCCCCACCACAGTTTATAATATATTAGTTTAGTAGTAGTTATCAAACAATTCATAGTAGGGCTGCACAATTTATCATTCTTCAATCATAATCACAACCACAGACTTAACAGTACCGGTATAACAGAAATACTGACATCCCCTAATTTCCCTATAACCATAGATTAATATCATGAATATATATCTATATATATATAATATATATCATGAAAGTTTGTTGATCAGCAACTGCAGTATGACTAAAAACAGTATGCAGTGCTGAATTCTTATCCACTTTATTATTTTATTATGTACTTCATAGCTTCAATATTAAAGCTAGTCATAAGAAATCAAATTTAAGAAAATACAGGGAGTCCTAGGCAGCTTTGTTTCCTCCTGTGCTCTGTGGAGAATGGGAAGAATGTGAGTTTCTCCTGGTATGAAGAGAAAGAGGGAATCTCCAGCATCAGTAGCTCAGATTCCAGTGAACGTCTTTATCTTCCTCTCAGTATAAACCTAACATTACAGAACTCATATTAACTCATATTATTTTAAGTAGGTTAAAATCACTATTCGTTTATTTTTGTTGCTCACTGAAAGATGCAGGATAGATTAAAGGTTAAAAAAGAAGCAACCTTCACTAGAAGCAGATAGGGGTGCACCGATATGATACTCTGCTAGTGGCCGACATCACTGGATCAGATACTGGAAGAAAAAAAAAGGTATAATCCGATATGATCCATCAGCCTTAACTATCACATAAATGCTAAACTTAACTTTTGCACAAAGTTGAAAATTTCATTTTGAATGTCTGAATTGTGCTGACCAATCAAAAATGCTGCTTAAAGTTCTGTGTGAAAAGTTTAAATAAAAACAAGCAGCATATATTGCGTAAGTGAGTCACGTTGTGGGCTACGATTTCTTCCTTTAGGGGAGCAGAATATTTCTTTCACAAACAATGTATTTAGCTTGCTGGGTTACATCCAGACAAACGTATTACTAACAGCTTAGCTGTTTAAGAGAGAACAAAAGACGGTACCGGTATTGGTATTAGTATCAGCAGATCTTCAGTGTTACGGTGTTAGTTTTGGTATCAGATGTGAAAAAATGTCTATGAGCCACTCATAGAAGCTGATACCTGCTTATTAATGAAGTATATCAAGTGAAATTCTAGTAGACAGATTGCAAAATTAGAGAACTGAATACTGACACACTTATACATTCAGGAGATTTCTCTTCTAAACTCTCTCTCTCTCTTTCTCTCTGCCTCAGTCCCGTCCCGTGGTCAGTATCATCATTCAGTTGAGTTTGTGGTCAGATTGGGGCTCTCCGCTGCGGTGATCCTGGCCACCATCTCCATCCTGCTTTATCACTTCACTTCCAGAACAGTTTAAACTGAAGGACTGAATAGATGGTGTCAGCACTAACAAACTGCTGATGTTCTCTCTTCTCACACATTATAAGTACAGTTTTTTTTTAATCTTTCTTCACATATTATTCCATTTAAAAAATGTTAAAATTCATGTGGTCTGTTCGTTCTCAGTTTGCCTAAGAAGAAATTGAAACTGAAATTAATAAAGCATTTGAAAATTAAAATTTGATTTTGAATAGAAGTATGAAAATTACATACAGTGTCATGGGACTGGTCCACTACAGCTCCGACTCCACCCTGGCTCTACCTACTCACACTTACACACACTTGTGGATCTTTCTCAAGACTGATTACAACCCCTGAATATGTCTCTGTTTGGTTTCAGACAAGTGTCTGTTGTCCCCGTACCGAGTTCTGAAACGTTTGACCCAGGCTTTATTTTCGGTTTATGAGTATGGAATTGCCTAGTGTGTACCTGCCTGTTAGTTTCTGACCCCTGCCTGCCTTGAAGGCTAAGTGTTAATTTGCCATAAATAAAGCCACTCTGTTACAAGTCCCTTATGTTACACAAAGAAATTTAAATAAACACTGCTAGAAGTACAACCCCACTTTCAAAAAAGTTGGGTCGCTGTACAAAATGTAAATAAAAACAAACTGCAATAATAATAGTACAAAGACAACATATCAAATGTTGAAACTGAGAAATTATATTGTGTTTAGAAAAATATTTGCCCATTTTGAATTTAATGCCAACACGTTCCAAAAAAGTTGGGAGGGGGCAAAAAAAGGCTGGTAAAGTTGTGTAATGCTACACCTGGTGGTTGATTGGCAACAGGCCAGTAACATGATTGGGTATAAAAAAGCATCTCAGAGAGGCTGAGTCTTTCAGAAGTAAAGATGAGGAGGGGTTCACCACTCTGTGAAAGACTGTACGATCAAATAGTCGTTTCTCAACGTAAAACAGCAAAGAATTTTTGCTTTTCTTTATCTACGGTACATAATATCATTAAATAATTCAGACAATCTGGAGAAATCTCTGTATGCAAGTGACAAGGCCAAAAAACAGACATGATTCTGAAGTGGAAATCACTGCATGGGCACAGGAACACATCTGAAAACCACTGTCTGTAGAAAACAGTTTGTTTCTGCATCCACAAATACGAGTTAAAACTCTAAAGAAGAAACCACACATAAACAAGATCCAGAAATGCCGCCAGTTTCTCTGGGCCAGAGCTCATTTAAAATGGACTGAGGGGAAGTGGAAAAGTGTTCTGTGGTCAGACGATTTAAAATTTGAACTTCTTTTTGGAAATCATGGACGCTGTGTCCTCTGGGCTAAAGACCACTCAGCTTGTTATCAGTGCACAGTTCAAAAGCCAGTATTCATGATGGTATAGGGGAGCATTAGTTTACATGGCATGGGTGACGTGCAAATCTTTGAAGGCACCTTTAATGCTGAACAATAGATACATATTTTGGCAACATATGCTGTGATCCAGACAACGTCTTTTTCAGGGAAGGCCTTGCTTATTTCAGCAAGACAATGTAAAAACCACATTCTGCATGTATTACAGCAGCATTGCTCTGTATTAAAGGAGTCTGGGTGCTAAACTGACCTGCCTGCAGTCCAGACCTGTCACCCACTGAAAACATGCATTATGAAATGAAAAATATGACAAAGGAGACCCCAAACTGTTGAACAGCTGAAATCCTATAACAAGCAAGAATGGAAAAACCACTGTTAAAACTACAGCAGTTGGTCTCCTCAGTTCCCAAACACTTACAGAGTGATGTTAAAAGAAGAGGTGATGAAACACAATGGTAAACATGCCCCCGTCCCAACTTTTTTGGAACGTGTTGTTGGCTTTAAATTCAAAATGGGCATATATTTTTCAAAAAATAAACAATTACATTTCTCAGTTTCAATATATGATATGTTGTCTTTGTAGTATTGTTCTTTTAAAAATAAGGTTTACATGATTTGCATATTATTGCATTCTATTTTTATTTACATTCTGCACAGCGTCCCAACTTTTTTGGAAATGGGGTCGTACATCCAGTGTGTAACTATTAAAAACTTGCTTGCTTTTGACCATGGAGGTCAAACTGGGTTTCTTAAGGGTGGTAACTCTGCAGAGATTAGCGTTTCCCCCATCGACTCAAAACGTCTTACTCATTAGCCGATGAGTTGAATCAGGTGTGTTTAATTAGGCAGAATGTTAATATCTGTAGCGCTGTGGACCGAAAAAAGCCTTATCTTAAAAAGACATATCTTTGCTGTTCAAAGAAAAACATGGATCTCCATTTCTATTGATTTTTATTTTTCTACATCATTTGACTCAGAGTTATGTGAAAAATTCATGATGAATGGACCAACAGAACAGAAAAGCTCCTAAAACACTTGGATTAAAACCTTTTACATTAACTTTCATTAAATGTTAAGAAAGCTTTTGCCCTCTTCTGTAAAGTTACCATTTTGGAAATACATACTTTTCCACAGACAGCAATAACATGCTTTAGCTCAGTTCTGGTCCTTGAGATCCACCCTGGACTGTCAAAATCCATCAAACATGGCTCTAATCTTCAGATGCCCCTGAAAATCTACATCACATATCAGTTTCTAGTCTCATGTGCAAAAACACTGCAGATTTCAGCTCACTGCCTCATAAAAACACACCTGATTCAGCTCATCAGCTAATTAGCAAGGCGTTCAAGAACTGAATTCAGAGGGTAAATGCTAATCTCCACAGCACTTTGGCCCGGAAGGTCACCATTTTGATATGCATGGCCTGTATTAACTGGATCAGGTGCATTACATTAAAGATGAAGATTAGCATCAGCAAGGCGGTAGATCTCCAGACTCTGAGAACCACTGCTTTAGACCAACCAGAACAAGTTTTGTGGTACACTTCCAAATCTTTAACCCTAATGGCCTAGAGCCATTGTCAAGATACACACTTCAGTGAAATAATGACTCAAGTGGACGTAAAAGTAGCCTAGCTGAATACAGCTTGGCTTAAAATACATCATCCCTAAATAAGTTCCCTATAGAACAGCAGTAGAACCTTTACAGAATTGATGGGAAACTTCAGTGTGTTAAAAAACATTTTTTTTTTAAAGCTGTCTGTAATTATAAATGTGAATGCAGAACAGGCCACTGTTGATTCTACAACATAAATCTAATAAACAATCCCATCTCCAACCACTCAAAGCACATGAAACAACAGAGCTGATATGATGGAAAGAAAAAATAATAGGTAGGAAAAGGAAGGAACTGGCAATTGTTGGTAAGCCGGTTGTTTGTAGGTTTTGTATAGGAAAACAGACATAATCAGGGTTGCAACTAGGGTCCATTTTGCAGAAATACAGAAATGAGACCTACATCTCAGAGTGAATAACAGCCAAATATGAGTGTTACACCAACTGTAAGTTTCTCCTTTAGGTTTTTTTTCTACTTTTTACCCATCAATAACTCCTATGCACCTTTTCCTTTCATTTGTTCCTTCCCCATCCCTCCATTCCTTTATGAACTGCTACTACTGTTCTGTAAACTGATCCAGTTAAATGTATTTAATTAATAATTTAACTATTTATTTATGCTTTATGTTTATTTTCAGCTGAAAATGCATATGGAAACACTTACTACACTTAATCTTGTGATAGTTTCAAATTATTTTATTTCATTTACCCTTTCTCCCCTGCATTTCTGTTATCACTGATTACTGTAAAAGCACACATTAAACATACATTATAAAAGGCTGCCTGTGCCAAACCCCAGCTATGGGAAAGGCAGCTACTCATACAGTTAATGAGACAAAAGCTTGCACTTTACACTTAAGGTTGCTACCGTGATCCAGATATTTCCTGAAGCTCATCTTGCCACATCTTTAGCACACATACATACATACTGATCATCATTTGCAGCAAGATAGGTACCAACATACTCACAAAGGTTGAGTACTGAGACTAAAAGCACTGGGTGTGGGGACACAGATCATGTCATGTATTTGATCTTCTTAGGTAAAGTATTACACATAACCTGTACTAGGTGGTGGCACAACCCCCTGCCTTATTCTACTATGAATTATGTTCAAGTATTTAACAAAAGTTGATATGATGATGAACTAAGTTGAGGATAGCACTTCTTCTTCAACAGAAAAAGATTATTTCCAAAAGAATGTATTTGTTTGTTGAAACAAAGAGCATATATGATCTTGTTCTGCTGCCATTTCCTCTGTGGTGTGTGGCTCTACAGAGTAACCAGGTGGTGCGCTTTGTTTAGAAACTCAGAAACTGCAATTCTTTGTCATCTGTGAGTGGCAGAGGGAAGAATAGGTTTATTTAAACTGATTTGGGAAATAGGTTTCATTTATCCTTCTTGTAATATATTGTTTGTAATATAATACTTTTTTCACCTGGTTTGTAACTTGCAGTAGCCTGTGGTACAGCAAAAGGAAAAATAATAAAAAGTGTTCCCAAAGTTGGTTTAATAACCTACTGTTAGGTCCATAAGTATTTGGACAGTGGTACAATTTTTGTAAATTTGCCTCTATATACCACCACAGTGGATTTGAAATGAAGCAGTCAAGATGTGATTGAAGTGCAGACTTTCAGCTTTAATTCAAGAAGTTTAACAAAAAATTTCCTTAACTGTTAAAGAATTACAGCCACATAGCGCTTCCATTTTCACAGGCTCAAAAGCTACTGGGCAAACTTACAATTATAAATACAAGGATTATTTTAAACACATGGATCCTTTGCAATCAATGACTGCTTTGAAGTATGGAACCCATGGACAACACAAAATGCTGAGTTTCCTGCCTTGAGATGCTTTGCCAGGCCTTTAGTGCAGTTGCCTTCACTTGTTGCTTGTTTGTTGGTCTGTCTGCCTTCAGTTTTGTCTTTAGTAAGTGAAAAGCACGCTCAGTTGGGTTGAGAACAGGTGACTGACCTGGCCATTTAAAAAATATTCCACTTCTTTGCCTTAAGAAGCTCCTGGGTTACTTAGGCGGTATGTTTGAGGTCATTATCCATCTGTACTTTGAAGTGCTGTCACATCAGTTTTGCAGAATTTGAGCAGAAAGTATAGCTCTATACTCTTCAGAAGT